AGAGTTGTGTCTTAAAATGCGATCATATGGACGCATTGGCCCGACAATAATATATAGAGTGTAAAAATACTATATGAATGGCAAACATGTACTTTATCAGTGAACAAATGGTACTATAGTCACGACTCACTTGTACTTTACCAGCGGATACATTATACTTAATTGGTGAACAAAGCGTACTATATTTTTTGATGAATTGAATTGTACCAATTTCATCGACGTTTTAATGATCAATAAGTACGGGAGATGCATAAATTATGTTTTAGATGATTATTTAACGGTAGGTGAGCATTATTGTTGCGTTTGAATACAAGATCCCATAAATATGTTGAATTGCATACATGATACTCATATACTATACAATATATTCATACAAGTCTACATTGCTCAAGTGTAAAACTAATACTTGCGCTCCATTCTTACCATAGTCGAAGTAGATCTACTCCCACATAGAGCTCCAAAAAATAACTTCAATAGTATAAAAATCGAAGAATTGTGTCTTAAACTGAGATCATATGGATGCATTGGCCCGACAATAATATATAGAGTGTAAAAATACTATATGAATGGCAAACATATCCTTTACCAGTGAACAAATCGTACTATAGTCACGACTCACTTGTACTTTACCGGCTTATACATTATACTTAATTGGTGAACAAAGCGTACTATATTTTTTGATGAATTGAATTGTACCAATTTCATCGACGTTTTAATGATCAATAAGTACGGGAGATGCATAAATTATGTTTTAAATGATTATTTTAAGGTAGGTGAGCATTAGTGTTGCGTTTGGAATACAAGATCGCATAAATATGTTGAATTTCATACATGATACTCATATACTATACAATATATTCATACAAGTCTACAATGCTCAAGTGTAAAACTAATACTTTCCTCAATTCTTACCATAGTCGATGTTGATCTACTCCCACATTGTCTCCATTCATTCTTAATAGTCTAAAACTGAAGAGTTGTGTCTTAAAATGCGATCATATGGACGCATTGGCCCGACAATAATATATAGAATGTAAAAATACTATATGAATGGCAAACATATACTTTATCAGTGAACAAATCGTACTATAGTCACGACTCACTTGTACTTTACCAGCTTATACATTATACTTAATTGGTTAACAAAGCGTACTATATTTTTTGATGAATTGAATTGTACCAATTTCATCGACGTTTTAATGATCAATAAGTACGGGAGATGCATAAATTATGTTTTAAATGATTATTTTAAGGTAGGTGAGCATTAGCGTTGCGTTTGGAATACAAGATCCCATAAATATGTTGAATTTCATACATGATACTCATATACTATACAATATATTCATACAAGTCTACAATGCTCAAGTGTAAAACTAATACTTTCCTCAATTCTTACCATAGTCGATGTTGATCTACTCCCACATTGTCTCCATTCATTCTTAATAGTCTAAAACTGAAGAGTTGTGTCTTAAAATGCGATCATATGGACGCATTGGCCCGACAATAATATATAGAGTGTAAAAATACTATATGAATGGCAAACATATCCTTTACCAGTGAACAAATCGTACTATAGTCACGACTCACTTGTACTTTACCAGCTTATACATTATACTTAATTGGTTAACAAAGCGTACTATAAATGCTGAAGAACCCAAACTTTACCAGCTTATACATTGTACTCTTATGTTCACTAATTAAACAACAGTACATAGGTTTTACATAGCATGTAGACTGCAAATATTACTAGATTCAACACTATCAAACTATGAACTACTCCACCTTCAGAATTGCAATTCTTCACTTCACTTTCTTGATGGACTTGGTTCATCGACGCACTTGTAGCTTCATTTTCTTCACGATTTGAGTTGGAAAAAGTTTGCCCAACTTCAAATGGTTCACATCAATGGGAGTAGCCATGGTGTGGGCAACAGTAAAATAACCTTCCGGGATTCGAAATAGTTTCTGAAACCATGATTATTGTTTTCTTCCCACAATCAAGACGCTTGCATTTCCCTTTTTTGTATTTTAACCCACTCATTTGAGTGGTGCTACTAGAAGAAGCCATGAATTAGAAACAAATGAGCCTATGTGTCATTTATGGTCATATTATGACTTGACTAGTTCTGACAATAAGCAACGGCTATATTATAAGCAACGGCTATATTGTAACGGTCATAAATTGAGTAAGTCATACCATCCTATCTCATAGATAATACCATGCGTAAATCAAATCAGTACCTTTATACTGAAAATGATAAACCATCAAGCAGCAACAAGCATACCATCATATCGCATATCTAATACCATGTGTAAATAAAAATAGTACTATTAGACTGAAAATGATAAACCATCAACCAACAATAGGCATACCATCCTATCTCATATCCAATACCATGTGTAAATAAAAATAGTACCATTAGACTGAAAATGATAAACCATCAATGAACAGAGTACCTAATACATAGTACAAACTACAAATAGCAAAAACATAGTGCAAATTGAAACATAGCACAAAGTTCAAAACAACATAGTGCAAATCACATAATAATAAAGTACAAACAGCCAGTTTTCATTCACTTCAATCACTTGAATAACATAATGGGCAATCATGTAAGCTCTCCTCCATCTTGTCCTCCCTGATGAAAAACATAAAATTTACATTATAAACAAAACTAGTTAGTTTAATTAACACAAATGCAGACAGTATTTACATTAAAAAAAATTGCTAGTCAGATTGGTTGTGTGCAAGTACGACGATTGTGTCCAGGCTTCCCACACCGAGTACACTTCAGTTTACGAGTTTGCACTTGTGAAGGAATTCTTTTTGTCTTTCTACGTCCCGGTCGAGTTCTCGAATCAGGTGCATTAACAAAGACATCGGGCGGAGCATTACACGCATCGTACAAGTCAAAGTCCTCATCAAACGAGGGAATTGGGTTAATCGTGAATTGATATACCTGTTTGTACGAATCAATATGAAAGCATGGATCCACAAACTCATATACTGAGTATCCTTTTGACTCCAAACATGCACATGCATGTTTGCATGGAAGTTTCTCTAATTGCCATGCTTTACAAGAACAAGTCTTGTGCTGCAAGTCAACCTTATACGACTTGTCCTCATCATATACCTCAAAAGCGGTACTACTTGATCTACAATATTTTAAGGAACGAGAGGCCATATGATTGATTGTTAATCTCTTTAGAATTTTCTTGCACAATATGCCAGTCATTGCCAAACTTTTTCCTTGTCGTTTAACTAGCATCTCCATTATTTTGATCCGTATGTGATCAATCATGGATGGAACAGGCAAAGATCGGGCATCTTTAACCCAACCATTCCAATTTTCTGCCTGATTATTGTTCACGATTCCCCATCTTTCTCCAGAAAAATAGGCATTCGCCCAATGATTTGGATCAGAATTCGAAATAAATGATGCCGCGAGAGGCATAGATTGCACTATACGAGAAATAGTTGCATCGAACTCCTGCCGAGTAGGAGCATATGCAGCATTATGTAAAACACTCGCCCAATATGACTTGTTGTGCAATGGGTACTTCCTCAGGACCTATATTATTTTGAAACATGTTATACAAATGTATGAAACATGCTATACAAATGTATGAAACATGCTATACAAATGTATGAAATGTGTTATACAAAAGTATGACACATGTTACACAAATGTATGAAACATGTTATACAAAAGTATGAAACATGTTATACAAAAGTATGACATGAGGTGACAAATGGTACGTTCCAATTTGCATATTAAAGAGAATCAAAATACCTGAGTTCTAAAGTTATCCACCAAGTGTCGCAAACAATATGCATGGTGGCTACTAGGAAATACCAACGGGACGGCTTTAAGAAGCCCCGAATGACGATCAGAGAAAATGGTAAAAGATCTATTGTCATTGTGAAGATCTAGAATTTGTTTCAGTTTAATGCAAAACCACTCCCAGTTTTTATCATTCTCAGCATCAACAACTGCGTATGCCAATGTATACAAGGAATCATTTGGATCCTTGCACACAGCAGAAAGCAAGCATCCTTTGTACTTATTTTTAATGTGAGTCCCATCCAAACATATCATCGGCCTACACCGATGAAAGCCGGAAATAGAACTCCCAAAACTAATAAATATTCGAATAAACTTTTGAGTAGCAGGTTCAATCTCATACTCTGCCATGCTACCAGGGTTATGCATTTTTAATGCACGACAATAGCGTCTCAGTTTATCATAACATGTCGTCTCATCACCATGGATATCACGCATTGCTTTTTCTTTACCCCTCCATGCTGTGTAGTACTGAAGCTCCAGACCATAATCGTCTCGGATATCTTCTAACATACCACATGGTGTGTAAGCTGGCTGCGTTCTCAATTTTCGTTTCATAATTTGGGCAATCCATGTAGCATCGGCTTTAGGATGACCCCTTGTACGAAGAGTAGCATCACCACAAGTGTGCTCAAGATTGCACTTGCGAATGCTAAATAACTTATATGACTTGTACAATGATGCATAAACCCTCCATTTGCAGTTTTCGTGAATGCATACTGCTATGATCTTTTGTTGATCATTTTTCATGTACTTAAATGATCGATTATTAGCAATAGAATAGTTTTTCAGCATATGCCTAAAATCATCAGGATCTTTAAAAAACTGATTCTCCCCACGGATGCAATGTCTCCATGCATCAATTGAATTTCCAAGCGGATTACCCTCGATTTCCATCGATTGATCGCCGCTTTTGGTTTCAAAAAAATTTTAAAAATGGATTACAATAGAGTGGAATCCAAATAACAATGTACATGAAAATATCATAACAATGCACTGGTTCCATACTATCTTATCCATTATATAATACTAAGTTTTCCCACAAATAGTACCAAGTTTACCTATCACCCAATACTATTCAGATGAAGGTTACGTACTATCCTCCCCATTATATGATACTATGTTTTCCCAT